GCATCACATTGACATGGGAAAATAAGTTAATAGTTATATTTTATATGTGCCTTTGCTTTGATGTTTGAAGATCATCATTATAGTTTTGAACATTTGAATCTAGTATGAGAGATAGTTGAGACAAAATCAGCATTTGTTTTGTTGGTGTATGTATTTAAATTTCATATTGACGAAAACATTTGCTTACCAGTTTCTAAATGCATAGTTCATTGTCCGTTTTCGAAGCCGTCGTATGCAGTGAAGAAAGAACGTATCATATCGGCTTCATCTGATAGTTTCATCACTCTTGGCAGTTCATATCCTTATCCGTTGGATATTTGAATAGTCAGCCGCTATACCGTCCGCTCGGCGGAAATGAAACGCACATCCAAATGGAAAGCGGCCTGATACGAGGCCTCTTTCAAAATCTTACATCGGCCTCGTCGGCTCTGCGCTGCATAGCTCTATACGACAGGCCTTCAGGACTTCCTGGTCACTTCTTGCCCTAATCTGCATCATTCTTCACCTTCCTGTGACACTATATGACATTTGAGAGACGCTCTTTCGAGTGCTACAGCTTTTATTAATTACACATGGCTTTTTAGTAGGCTTGATGACGATGACTGAGAAGGGTTCCGAGCGCAAAAAAAAACTATTGGTGACGATTAACCTGCGGCTGAGGCTGCCGTTTTTTTCCTGTTTTTTTTTTTTTTTGGTGTACTGCGGCCCGTATGGAAGACATCTAAACTGACTCTTCCAGCCAGCAACGACCTGTTCCACTGTTCAGAGGAATTCTGATCTGAACACTTATCGCTGTCCAATTCGCTGGAAAGAGGACAGATGACCTCTCCACCCATCGCTGTTCTGCTCGTATGGGTAGAAGACCTCTCACCTCTACCGTTTCACCCATCGCCACCCTTCTCTGTTGTGTTGGATACCGTTGCCATACCAACCGCCACCGCTGCAGTGGCATCTCCCTGATGATGGTGTGACTCTGTGTCGGTTCGCCCTTTCCCGGGGTGTCCCCGAGAGAACGACGTCCCACAGTCTGACAAACGATGGGTCAGGTCACGCGTGCAGCCACGCTGCCTGGCCGGGATCATAATGCTGAGTAGCACCGCGGTGACCCCGTCACGTAGGACGCAGCTGGGTGCAGCCCGGAACACTCAGGCCCGCCGCTGATGTATGGTTACTCGGGAGATGAGGGACTGGTTTCAGTGGGATGGTTATTGGGCTCATTTGTTTCAGATTTGTGTGTCATGGGGGATGATGATGAATAGTGGCAGCAACTTTTTCAATAGGGGAATGCTGGATGGTTTGAGCTATGCAAGGATCAATGGTGATCGAGACGAGAGCTTTAGCATGACTGAAGAATCTGCGAGGTGATTTAAAGCTCACTGATACCACCATAACAATTTTCAATTGTCTGTTACCCCATTTCGAGCTGGAATTGTTTCTCGCTCGTACGTGCCTCTGCCACTGTTTCCGCTTCGTGATGCCACCGCCGAATAAACAGCATCGGTCTGCGTTTACACTGCAGCCAGTCGGACTGCAGTTTCACTGCTGTTTGCGTGCCTGAACGACTAGTCAGTGGCTGTGGGCGGCAGAAATGTTTCCGCTCAAACCAGGACATCTGTATTCGCCATAATGGCAGACAGAGCCGCTTATGCCTGGACTTCTTTTAGCTAGGTCTGAAATCAGTCATCCCTGTCTCGATCTAAACACGACATAAAAGACGATCTTTTTGTCTGTCATTTTTTACTTTGTGCTTGTGAGTGTGGGCCTCAATACGATTGCGGGACGCTTCCGGAACAGGTGCAACACTGTAAAATATTACTGCTCTCTGACAATACACTTCATGCGTAACCGGGTTGAAACCTCCGTGAAGGCGTGAAGCTCCTTGATAGATATATAATGACCCATTTAAAGGGACAGTATCACCATTTTGATGAAATTTGACATTGCATAGGCCCCACCTTTCTGGTCCGGGAACTGAAGACCGATCCTCGAAGCTCCACACCGTTATCCCGCTATCGCCGCTCAAAGTACGAAAGGTGTACTACACTTTGAATCGTGCTTCACTATCTTCACTGTTTAAATGTTTGCGCCGTTTTGAATTGACCGCCAGTAATAAAACTTTTACCCTGGTCATTTCATCAAATTTTATAAAGCCAAAACGTTTTTCGCACTTACATATTCATCACCTTTGAATTCATTAAATAGTCGTAGGCAATTTCCGCTGTTTCCTTCGGATTCTAGCGGCTCAACAAAGGAATTCCTCCAGCTTGAATCACAATCTCCCTCCAATGTATGACGTTTATCACGTGATTGTCACGTGATATTTTCTCCCATTGTCAATTGTCACGTCAAATTGTCACTCCCTCCAATTGTCACGTGATATTTTTATAGGCAATACCTAAGGCTATCTCTCCCTAAGGATAACTCAATCAGAAGAACGACCGCGTAAGCGTAGCGTCAATAATGTATTATCTGCGCCAGTTCTGTAGTAATTTTGCATGCTTCCAAACTGGCGGCCATGCTTGTATAGTGGTGGTTCGCTCATGAAAATGAATCATGAAAATGAAATGTGGTTGCAATATTTTTCACCGAGTTCGGTCCTCAAACTATGTTTTTCTGATTCAGAAAAATAAGAAATGCTAGTAAAAAAAAAAATCAGCTCCATACATTGATTTTTTTTTCGATGATACTGTCCCTTTAATTCTTTATAATTGTAATCTTTATGTCTCCATTCCATTCCATGTAATTTCCATTATGTGAAATCGTGCTGATTGGCACATGACTGCATACATAGCTCCTCTAATTGTCAGCGTCGAGTCGGAGAGCTAGCTTCCACCACTCAACTACATACTCTATATACGTACCCATCGCACAATGGCACATACAACCGGGTTCACTTATCAGTAGTAACCGTAAATGGAATCCCTTCTCCCGGTCTGAGCCAATTCAGAGCGGTCTGCTGTTGTGCCTCGTTACCTGCCGTTTGGTGGGGGCTCTGTGATGAACAGTGAACTGCCCTCCAGCAGCTCGACCTTTAGCTCGGCAGAGCGGTATTGATCAGATGGCTCCACTCCTCCGTGCTATTCTATATGTACAGCTGGCCCTTAATCCTGGGTCCAGACCACTGGACTGTTTGCCATTAAAGGTACGCCATTAGAGACCGATAACGCCCAGGTTTGCCCAATGTCTGGAGTCCATTTGGAGCCAGACACGACAGTCTGACTTTTTTATCATTTGCTTTTTGCCTTCGTCCGGCCTTGTCCGGTTTTTGCTGGATTTTTTCCTGGATTGTACGGCGTTAGTGGTCGTTCACAGTAAGTCAGATTCCACCAGACACGTCATTAACTTTAATTCCATCAAACGATTGGCTGCTGAGAAGATCCTTATATCGATCGGTTTAAATAAAATAAGAGTGTTGTGGTTCGTGAGCCGGTGCTACGCAAAGTATTCCGCCCATAGAAACGAACGAAAGATCTCATTGACCTGTGAGCTTACACATTCCCGCTTGACAAGAAATATCAATTTAACCTATCCCGAAGAAACCGTAGATACAATTATAGGTCTATTGTTATTCTAGGTCGCTGCGAAACACTTGGAATTTGCATTTTATTTTAGAGAATTTTCGAATTTCGCTAGTACCTGAGCAAGAACAATAATTTTACACTCGTTTTGCGAGGCATCATATGTCATATCAGTAAGTCATTTAGCATGTCATATGTCAATTCATTTACCTGTTTGATCCATGTCTTTCGATAATTTTCAAGATCAGTAAATGTTCAGTGACATAAAAAGAACGTATTCCTCTCCCAAGAGAAGATGTAAATGATCTTCAATTTGCGACGTTTCCGACGTGCCATTCCCGAGCGTCCTCCGCTCTGCATTGAGGCTGAAACGGATCACGGAGCCATCTCACTCAGCGCGTGATTCCCCTCATCTCCGCTCCAGATTTCGGCGGCCTCCAAGCCGCTCGCTGAGCTTCAAACTGGGAGCCTTGGAGGCGAGGTCCGGAAGCCGTCATTGCTGTTGACTTTTCCCGAGGTCGGAGCGGCGGTGCAAACAGGCCTCTTTGCCGAGATCACGGCCCGTCGCGCCCCGATACGTCACTCTTTGTGGCGTGGACGCCGCGAAATTGCCTGACGGCCACGCAGTCGGTCGAGTGTAGAACGGGTGGCCGCACGCGGCGGACGATAGCACGTTTGTGATATTTTGCGCGGACGTGGAATAGGCTGGACCGAAATGAAAGGGATGCCGATGTTACTGTCTGCAAGGTATTGCGACTAAGTTGTATGACATAGCAATGAGATGGGATCACATTCATTGCCTGTAAAAAGAGGCCGAAGTATCGCCTTAGTGATGTTTTCAAATCAGTTTGCAGCTGGATTCTGTCGGCAACATTTGAGGCTCAGAACGTCTAGTCGGCATGGATGAGGTGATAGAATTCAATTCACATTAGCACATTCCACACGTTCATCCAAATGGCTAGCTAACATCACTAAACAATTTTCACTTCAAATGCTCCTGACTATCCTTCATTTCGAGATCATTGTTTGCCTTCTAAGGGCACGTCGTTCAACCGACCGCGAATATATGAATCGTCGGCACTTCCGTGGGACATGAACCCACGGTCAGTGTGTCGTCAACTCGTCATGTTGCAGTTTTGTTCGAGTAAACTATTTCTTACAGCTGAGGGCATCCGATACCACAATCAGAATATTTCCCCTAGCTATTTCAGTAGTTGCCTACGAGTACAAATAAAGGGCTAGGCATGGTGAATTCTTTTGTGTCGTAGTGCTACTATTTCGATAATGAAATGGAAAAAAGTGGAATTCTTACCCATAAGTCTGACGTATGCCTACAATACGTCATGCAGCATATATTTTGAGCACAGTTTTATTTCCTTTGTTCGGCTGCAATCCTAAATCGTGGCATATGCCACTGCCTAACCCAAAACCTCTTATCCAACGTGCCGCTTTGTTTACGGAAAAAACTTCTATCTCCCCCAGGTATCACTGGAAACGTTTCCATTGACGGAAACGGTGACCGTCAGGCCGACTATTCTCTCCTTGACATGGACCCGGAAACGGGCAACTTTGAGGTGAGTGAAATGGAGCAGCGGTGATGGGATCCTTGGGTAGCGTTTGGGATCAAGTATCGTGACTTGCTTCCTCGGTAGGTTTTTGGACTAGGAATTCATGTAAGGAAATGCTGTATACATTAAAAAAACCTGCTATATAGGCAGGGATCTACTATCCATTACCATGGCATTTAGAGGCATTTGTATTCTTCGGCGAAAATTTGAAACATCTTGTAGCCCAACAACTACAATAGAAAGGTTTGCTTTCTAATAAAAAAGAAATGCTTATGATCCCCAAATGCCCATTGCCTTATGTACAACTTGTACATAAGGATATTTATGTTGTACAACTGTACATGAATACATTAATGTACACAAAAATACATGGGGCAACCCTACCCGAATAACCCCAAAAGTGATAAACCTCTAGCAGCTTAATCCAACCTTTCGAAATACTTGGCACTCCAACATAAACTCACGTTTTTTAGAACCGTGGACCTTGACCATTGTCCAAGGCCTTTAATAGCTGCTTTATTGTTACAGTGAACTGTTCTATCAGTGACCACGGAGTGGTCCTAGACTCATTTTAACAGCCGATCGAATGGTGCCAATGTTCGTGCAGATATACCGTCTTGAGAGCATGTTCCCACTCAGCCGCGGGGGCGTAGATAGCCCAGTGATACCAAATATAGCCCACTTATGTCACCACTCAGCAACTGATAACCTCACCTGGGTAAGTTTTTCAAGTCATACGTAGACGCTCGGCGGTCCAAAGCTTAAGCAAAGCACACATCGTAAACGGCATGCTAACACCGTGACTCGAGTGGGCCGATATTACTATTGGGTGCAAAGTCCACTCCTTATCTAAAGAACTCTATACGCTTTCAAATGCCCCCGCAGGCTTTACACAAATCTCCCTGGCTTTATATAACCTCTGAATGTGCTGATGGCATTGCAGACACCCTTCTAAGGACTAAGATAGTGCTGGAGGCGTGAATCATTGGACATGAATCCCCTACAGCCTTCACTCACTTACGAACATTTTCCAACATCACCCCGGCGTGTTCTCTCTCGATTGGACAGGTGGTGGCAAATTATTACGGCGATACCCAGCAGCTGACGATGAAGGAGAACAGGTCGATCACGTGGTCGGGAGGACGCACCAGCCCGCCTCCCGATAAACCCGTCTGCGGATTCGACGGCTCACTTTGTCCGGACACAGGTGAGGGGTCGCGTGAAAATGTGATATGACGTCATCGCGACTAGGGCCACAGTGGTTGGCGTCCGGGTCACGAGAGATAGGGATTGAGAGATAGGGATTGAGAGAGAGAGAGAGAGAGAGAGAGAGAGAGAGAGAGAGAGAGAGAGAGAGAGAGAGAGAGAGAGAGAGAGAGAGAGAGAGAGAGAGAGAGAGAGAGAGAGAGAGAGAGAGAGAGAGAGAGAGAGAGAGAGAGAGAAATATGCATTTTAGTCATTCTCTCGTATCAGTCTCATGTTCCATGGTCCCATGTCTTATGATATAGTTGTTCGTAAGCTTCCAGGGTATTTGTTGTCCACCTGATGTTTAATGCTCACCTAATGCCAGAGCTTCGTTGTTCATCTGCTCTCTTCCGCTCTGCCCTGGGCGATTGTCTCTGACCGTTGAAACTGTCCTTCGGCAGCGTTTCCGAAGTACGCCATCGTGAGCATCGTGCTGAGTGGCGTCATGGTCATCATGCTCATCACCTCACTCTTCATGTACCGGTGAGACATTGCTGCAGGACTGATGGGACTGGTAGTGGTGGTAGTGGGGTGGGCGGGTTGCAGCAGTAATGTTGTGGTGCCTGGTGGGCCGGTGCCAGAAGGTGGTAGTGGTGGAGTGGGCGTGGGGAATGGCGGGTGTTTGGTGTATGACCGAAAGCGGATATGTTGATGTCTGTGGTCACAGCAAGCAGTCAGCATTAGTTACAATAATAATTTCAGCTTGAAGCTAAGTTGCGAAATTGCTTGCTGACTGACAACACCCTCTGAAGTTTCATGCTAGCAACGTCTGACTTTTGTGTTTAAGCAGTAGCTCAAAATATAATCGCGTTAGTTGTCCCTCGTAAACTCCGTTTTAAGAACTTAATCAACCCCAAATGGCCTCGTAAGGGGTTTACGACATCCAACAGCGCCTGAAACTGGTGCGGGACGCTCAAAGTGTGTCCGCTGTCAGCCAAAACCTGCTTCTCAGATAATTATGCAATACGCATACCTGTTTATATATTGACACGCGAATTTGAGAAATGTCCAGCAATCTAATGAATTGGTGAATATGGCGATACAGAACGGCAGTTTCAAGCGTGTTTTGTTGTCCGGGATTTATTGTGAGCAAAAACATCTGTTTTCCCGCTGAATGCATTTCAGCAGGCTGTGTGCCCTTTTGGAGTCCAGTTTTTTGTGCTTAATGTTAAGATAATTTGCGTAGTATTTGACATTTCTATTACCTTTTTAATAGATAAACATAAACTATAAAAAGTGCATTATTGTATGTGAACACTAGGTGGTACTGTAGATAAAGTAAAGTACAAATTCCGAGATAATTGTTGTTCACAACTCATACATACACATCGAACGACGTAAAGTACAACATACTGACACACCACATCCACCCTCACCACCGGTTGACCGGGCTGGGGCCGTCCGGCGTCCAAGAACCCCCGGTCCAAGGGGTTGCTCGGCGGGCTGCTGGCGCGGTCGGTGCTGGCTGACCACAGTTGCGCGATTGTTTTCAGTTTCGTTTCGATTTGGAGAGGCGCTTTAATTTAAGTTTATCTTTTGCGCTGATCCACCACTGAACTTGCTTATTGTTTTGTTTTTATCACTCAATAAAATGAACTGAACTGAACTGAACTGAAAAAGTAAATAGCCGCTTCAGGGTGTTTTGCTTCCTCCGCAGCGCGGTTTTATCGAATATGACAAATACGCATGGCAAGACTCTTCTCACCCTTGAGCCAAGAAAACACACCTGTAAATAGACCATTTTCCCAGCCAGGGGCGGGAATACATATTACTGGCACTCCTTCGAAGGTGAAGCTGAATAATTTCCACTGAACAATGAGGGATAACCTGAGCTGTCTCCTCGCTTCCAACCAGGCGACAACCGTTGTTTGCTGACGGCTGTGATTTTAGTTTTCAGGATTAAAATAAATGCAAAAAAAAATCTTACCCCTTTCGTTTTGCGACCAGACATCCTAACTAGAGACGAAAATATGAATAAATTTATACAGGAGCATACGGCCTACAAATATTTTTTGTGACACTACTTTTTCTGTTCATCAAAGAGGTGTGAGCTACGCAGATGGCGGTAGGATTTAAGGCACGTTGATCCAACGTTGTTGAACTGCGCCAGAGGCGTTGAGCCACTCAATGCGATGAAAATCTTCAAAGGAAGCGCGAATTACAAGGTAGCGGCGACTGTTGACAATGCTCTTCAATCTTTGCAACCATCACGTCGCTTGGTTGATATGTTTGGAGTGGAGGGCAGATCTGGCTTTCATCAGCTTCATCACATTGAACACACGGGTTTTATTTGCTAAGGATGATGTAGTTTTATATTGGCCGCGTTTAGATATAAGAATAACATTAACGATATGAATAAGATTGATTTAACACACAGATTGAATTTATATTTAT